GTTCAGCAGTTGTTGCCTTCCCTTCCAAAAACTTATGAGTAAATACCATTTGTTTACAGTGGTTTATATTTAGTTTAAGATGTAGCTCGGTTTTCAAAATGTGTTTGTTAAGCAGGGTCCCTCACCCCCGTCACTGCTTTAACTAAAGAATTCCATATTATCTGGTCTAGCTATTAGGTTCTTTATGAGGCTTTCAAGTGACAAGTTTTTTTTTTTTTTTTTGCGGTACGCGGGCCTCTCACTGTTGTGGCCTCTCCCGTTGAGGAGCACAGGCTCCGGATGCGCAGGCTCAGTGGCCATGGCTCATGGGCCCAGCCGCTCCGCGGCATGTGAGATCTGCCCGGACCAGGGCACGAACCCGTGTCCCCTGCATTGGCAGGTGGACTCTCAACCACTGCGCCACCGGGGAAGCCCTAAGATTTTTTTTGATAAACCAATAGTCTGGTAGTTCTCAGGGCATGCCTGTGGGATGGCTACATCAGAATCACTTGGTCACTTTAATAAAAGTACATACAGTTGACCCTCGAACAGTATGCATTTGAACTACTCGGGTCCACTTATACATGGGTTTTTTCCACTAAATTCATAGAGTACTATGCTTCACGAATTTGCATGTCATCCTTGCGCAGGGGCCATGCTAATCTTCTCTGTATCATTCCAATTTTAGTATATGTGCTGCCGAAGTGAGCACTAAATACATAGAGTACTACGGATCTGAGGTTGGTTTAATCCGAAGTTGAGGAACCACGGGTATGAAGGGTCAACTATGGGACCTGAGCATCTGCGAATTTTGGTATCCATAGTGGGTCTTGGAACCAATTCCCTGTGGATACTGAGGGATGACTGTTGTTAGATACCACCTTAGACCTACAGGGTCAGAATTTCCAGGGGTGTCGTCTAGTCATCTGTATTTTTAATCTGCTCCCTGGGTGAATATGCACATCCATTTTTTGGAACCACTGGCCTCAAACATCATGCTTACTCAGAAGTACTTAAAACGAACTCCAGCCAGTCTTCTTAAAGAGCAATAATTTGGAAGCAAGAACTGCCGTAACTTCGAAATAAATACTAATGTATAGAATGTTTCTTCATCTTTTTTGTTAACATTTTAACTAAAATTCAGAGTCTTTTAAAGCTTAACTGTCAAGTGGGCCAAGTTGCCTTAACTTAGTATCTTTGAATTTTTCTTTGGCAATAGAGTTAGTTACATCCCCACAATAGCCAGTCTCACTTATTTTGGGTGGTTGTCTCATTGTTTTAATGAGAGGACCAGAAGAAAGGCCTACTTTTAGAAACACTACCATTTTATAATAATTCTAATAGTTTGGTCAGATCTAAATTATACCTATTTATTTAGGTACATTAAATGCTCTAAAGGATTTCAAAATTTTCTCCATAAGACCTTTTAAAGGTCTTCCATGAGACTTTTTAGAACTTGGTCCCCATCTCCTTATCAAGAAGTGGCATATCATGATGAACCCTTCTAGAAGGTCACTGAAACATAACTGTTCTGATATTTGGTTACCATTAATTAGTTTCTGTTTAACCCATTTTATTACTTGGGCTTCTGAGAACCACACTGAAACATTTAGATAAAAGGAGTGGACTCACCGACACTTCAGACCTTGCCATTGCTAGAATTTTATGGATCTCTGTTATGTTGTAGTACCTGTTGTGCTGTAGCATTCCTTCCTAGCTACTCTTAGTTTTTAATTGGTTACAGTTGTCACAGCATTAGTTCCTACTGTGCTTTCTCCCAATTTGTATTTTATACATATTAGTTTTAATTTTTCTTAGAATATTGGTGCTATTGTGATTTATATAGAGCTTATCCTTTCTATTTATACTTCTGCCGACTTCTGTAAGACACTGAGAGCACTTAGAGTAAAAGCATAGTTGTCATGATCCTGGCAGGCCCGTGCCTAGAGCATTAATGTACCCTGGGCTCATCTCCCATGGAACTGCTATTGAGAGCCTGATAGAAAGTCTGACCCCAGATTTCCAGGGCCAAGAGACTTGATAAATGAGGATGGGATTAGATGTGTAGCTCTGGTGACTAGGCCTGGAAAGGCAATGTAGCTGACTGCTTGGGTTTGAATCTTAGCTCTTCTGCTTAATTTTAGTGTGACCTTGGGTAAATTACTTAAATTTCTTCTGCGTGATTATGAATAAAATGGGAATAGCTGTACCTATTGCACAGGGTTATTGTTAGGATTAAATACATTAATATGTGTTAAAAGTGTTTAGCATACCACTTGGCACTAGTGATTGCTCAACGAGAGTAATGTGTTAGGAAGCCCAGGGCCCAAGAAATATAAAGTGAACAAAATGTGCCTTTTACAATGTTTTATATCTTCCTGTATTTAGGCTGCTTCTTCTCCAGTTACTTGTAGCTCAAATGCTTGCTTGGTTACTACCGATCAGGCCTCTTCAGGATCTGAAACAGAGTTTATGACCTCAGAGACTCCTGAGGTAATAAGAGACCAATTGTCTTACTTTCTTTTCTGTCTTAAAGTATAGCAGAACCAGTTTATTGTATGAATTACAGGCATAATCAGTTTAATGATTTAACATTTATACCTTACTAATGTTTGCTTTCTATAGATGTTGTAGTCCTGGAACTTATACAGGTAACTTTAACTTTATTGTGACCTTACCGTATAAATGGACTTAATAGTGTATTGCCTTTTCAGATACAATAAATATGTCCAAATTGCTAGTGTCAAAAAAAATGAAAATTTCTAGGTAAGGGTAGGGTTAGTTCAAATTTCTCACTATATTCATATTGAAGGATTCCTTAGGAGAAAAATCTTTTTATCCATGTAACAGAAGACTCAATAACTTTATAGTTTTAATATTAGCACTGACTCAATTGGAATGAGTTACATTCTCTTTTTGCCTAATTTTGTCAAAGCATTTTGACAGTATTACGTTTTTCCTCTCAATTCTCAAGTGAAAGTTTTTGCTGTGTTTGAGCAAATCCTTGAGATAGATATAGTAAGATAGGATGATTTTTTGGATTAATTTAGCAATTCTTAGGTTTTATTATTATTTTTTGGTTAACTATTATATGAGAATTTGTGTTCATTGTATAAGAAAATAAAGGTAAGCATTAGTTTTTATGGTGTTGACTTGGTCTAAATTAAAATTACTTGGTTCCTTATTTTAAGAAGAGGAAGTGTTTGCCACCTAGTGAGTCACAGCTGTCTGCTTCAAAATCTCATTGGTACTGGTTTTTTCATATCTTTTAAAGCATTTGGCTTTATAATCTATTATATTAAGGACTTGCTTATTCCCTTAGTTAAGATTAGCTCAGGTTTGGTTTTCTTTTTTTAGGCAGCTGACTGAGGAATCCACTAATAAGACTTTAAAATAGAGAAAAATTAACACTGACTAAGTAACTAACCCAAGGTTTTTCTTAAAATTCTTCTGTATAAATTTGGAATAATACTAGATTCCGAACTGGGAAATACCATTACAGGGTTTGAAAAGGACTAGGTACTCATAAAAAGTTCAGCCCCTTGTCTGTTAGACTGACTAATAGTAAGATTCTCACTTAGTCAGCAAGCTGTGCAAAGCAAATGCTAGTGTGCATCCTCAGCAATTGAGATTTGAAATTGTAAGCAAAAGCTATTCTTCTGCATTCCTGTGTCCAAATGTCGTCCCATAGGACTTGCTGACTTATGCCAGTCTGGGTTTTAGTGTAAGTTAACTGTTTATTGTATGGCAGGTGATTGGCTGATATTGCATTTCTCCTCCCTAGGCAGCAGTTCCCCCAAGCAAGAAACCGTCTTCACTAGCTTCTCCAAATCCTCCCATGTCAAAGGGCTCTGAACAGGGCTTCCAGTCACCTCCAGCAAGTAGTAGTTCAGTAACCATTAACACAGCACCCTTTCAAGCCATGCAGACAGTGAGTATGAAACGTGAATGATGATTGCAGTTCATTATTCCTGTTAAAAAGCTATTGTTTCGCTTACATCTCTTACATTAGGTACTATGTGAAAAAATTTGCCTTTTCTGTTACTCTTTTTTGGGCTGGTAGAATTTGCATTTGTCCAATGGAAATATTGTTTGTGTGGGAAAAGTAGTAAATCCGAAGCCTCAGTAATTTTGAATGGAAATTTTATCAGGGCATTTTCCCCTCTGAAAATTAGTGGCAGGCAAACCTGAGCACCCATATTAAATAAATGAAATGTGAGTGAGAAACATAATTTTCTGTAAATAGCTTAATAATACTAACCATTACTAATATCACAGTAGTAATGTTCCATGGCATCAATAACCTGAAATACAGGACACATACTTGTGTGTTCTGTCACTGTTGAAACTTTCACTTGATTTTATCTTCATCTCATCTGGGTTTTGGAGAATTGTTCAGATTTCTATGGTATTTTGAATTACATATTCTGCTACAAATTGTAGTTTAAAACTTTTTAAGGTGATATTTCAACTAGGTTTGTATGTTTATTCTCTAAACATAGAATAAGTATAAAACTTTTCTTTAGAAAAAAGCAAAAAGTCTTAGCCAATCAGTACCTTTCCTGATGGTGCTTAATGTCCCACTCCAGGTACTTTCGTGTGATGGTGATGGGATGGGACCAGTGGAGTGGTAGTGGAAAGCAGGCACAATGCAGGGAGATGGTCTGGTGAATTCACACCCCTGAATTCACTAATCTTATTACTTCCTGCTTGACCACGTAGTACAGCTTTGTGTCCTTGCTTTCCCTCTATCCCTGTCAATCCATCCTATACAGTATTGCCACATTGGTTTTGCTAACTTTTTCTTATTCCTAATGAAAAGCAAATATTGGCCCATTATAGAATGAAATTGAAAGTCCTTTGCCTGACACTCAGTAACTTTTGAAGTCTGGTATAACTTGCCAGACTAGTCCCCTGGGCTTGCCTTGTACACTCTTGTCACAATACCTTTTTTTGTGTGGTGTGTGTTTTAAGATTTTTAATTTTAATTTGAAATGAAATACAGTTATTCATTCAACAAATTGGAAAATATTAAAACAGTTGACATTATCTAGAGTGGGGAAAGAAATAAGAAAGTTTTATACACTGCTGATGTGACAGTAAATCATCACAACCTTTTAGGAAAGGCACTTCCTGTTAAAATTTTTTAAAAAGGGGGCATAAAGCTGTGACAGAAGTTTCACCTTGAGGAATCCATACTACAGGAACAAAGGGATTAGTAGCTAAGGATATGCTTCAGTAGCTGAAGATATGTTGTATATAACGGCACTAGAAGGCAATCGCAACAAAACCAATCTGAATTGGAGACCATCTGAACGTCTGTTAACTGGGAAATGATTGACTAAATTATGGTGTTTCCAATTCTGTGGCTCATTCCTTCACTCACCGTATATATTTTTCGAGGCAGGCATTGTTTTACTGTATGCCAGGCATTGTTCTAGATACTGGGGGTAAGGAAGTGAATAATACAGATTTGTCCCCTTTATCATGAAGCTTACATTCGTGTGTGTGTGTGTGTGTGTGTGTGTGTGTGTGTGTGTGTGTGTGTATGTAGCAAGGGAGAGACAAAAATGATAAATGATAATAATAATAACAGCAACAATAAAACAAGTCAGTTAACCTTTAGAATAATTGCCTGTTTCTAGAGGCAGGTACCTTGGGTTTTTCAGTGAAAATATTACATCCAGATTTTTATTCTGCTTTGAAATCTTTGTGTCCTGATTTAGTTGCTCCTGGTGTGTCTTCTCATTGTATTTTGGAAATTTTTAATAGCACTTATCCTACTTTATTTTTATGTTTTTTAAGTGAAACTTCAGACTTTTTCTGGATTTCCCTAGTTTTTCCACCAGTGTTCTTTTTCTTTTCCAGGATCCCTTGCAGGGTGCCACATTGCATCACAGTAGCTTTTTGCTCATGCCAGTCTGTCTTCTCTACCTGTTTGGATTCTATCCAGTATAAATTGGTTCTTATTTGTTTGCTTACTCATTTATTCAATAAACAGGTAGTTATGAAGGCAGGCACTGTTCTTAGGGGTTGTAACAATGGAGAATAGACAGGTCTTTGTGCTTAAGAAGCTTATACTTTATTATGGAGGTGGGAGGGCTAGAGAGAAAAATATTCATATATATATTATATCAGATGCTATGTGTTGTGAGGAAAAATGGAGCAGGATAAGGGGGCTAGAGAGTAACAGAAGGCTATATTATAGATGATGACCAGAGTCTTGACAGATCATTGCCTGCTACATGGTAGATATTCAGTAAATGGCAGATTTTTTCATTTGTTTTCAGTTTCTGAAAAAGTACCCTTTTCCCCTATATAGCTTTCATTCTCAGTAAGCATTATTATAATATAATAGCAGGAGAGTTAATTTTTGTACTTGGTTAAACTTCTGTCAGAAATCAAATAGAAATTTGGTTTTTTTACTATGGTAAAATATGCATAAACGTAAAGTTTACTGTTTTAACCGTATTTAAATGTATAATTCAATGGCATTAAGTACATCCACAGTGTTGTACAGCCATCACCACTATCTATTTCCAGAACTTTTTCATCATCCCCTCCCCCGTCCTAGCCCCTGGTAACTTCTATTCTACTTTGTCTCTATGAATTTACCTATTCTTAGGTACCTCATATAAGTGGAATCACGGTATTTGTCCTTTTGTATCTGGTTTATTTCAGTTAGCATAGAATTTTCAAGGTTCATCCATGTTGTAGAATGGATCAGAATTTCATTCTTTTTTATGGTGAAATAACATTCCATTGTATGTATGTACCACATTCTGTTTATCCATTCATCTGCTCACGGACACTTGGGTTGTTTCCATCTTTTGGCTATTATGAATAATGCCATGAACATTGGTGTACAAATATTTGAGTCTCTGCTTTCAGTTCTTTTGGGTATATGCCTAGAAGTGGAATTGCTGGATCATATTCTACTTGGTAATTCTACTTGGTAAATGGGAATTCCGCATTTAGCTTTTTGAAGAACCGCTGCACTATTTTCTGCAGTGGCTGCACCATTTTACGTTCCCACCAGCACTGCACTGCCACTGAGGGTGGCAACTGTACCACACCCTCAGCAATACTTAGATTTTCTGTTTTTTTTTTTTTAAGTAATAGCCATCCTAATGGGTATGAAGTGGAATCTCATTGTGGTTTTGATTTATATTTGTCTAATGACTAATGATGTTGTGCATCTTTTCATGTGCTTATTGGCCATTTATCTTCTTTGAAAAAATGTCTATTCAAGTCCTTTGCCCATCAAATAGAAGTTTTTGAATGTTGCAGAGTTTTGCTGAATGTCATCTTTAATTGTTTTCTATAAAACTTCACAAATGACTCAGTGTACCCTGTCTTTTAAGGTATTTAATGTTAATGCACCTCTGCCTCCACGTAAAGAACAAGAAATAAAAGAATCCCCTTATTCACCTGGCTACAATCAAAGTTTTACTACAGCAAGTACACAGACACCACCCCAGTGCCAACTGCCAGCTATACATGTAGAACAAACTGTCCTTTCTCAAGAGACTGGTAAGATCTTTGTGTATCATATTTTGAAGACTTAGATGAGAGCTAATTAAACGGAAAGCAAGTCTGTAGTGACACTTGAGATGTTCTCTCTTGACTAGTAAGCCTTATCTTTTCACATGTTCAAGTATTGAGAAACACTTAATACTTTTTCATCTCTTTAGTTAAGTTCACTTATTACTTTTAACTTTTGTAGAGGTAGAACTTAGATGGTTGATTTAACCTTGAAGTAGGCTTTTATTTTTAAATCTGATTGCTTTGATTACCATCAACAGTGGTAGAGGTGCATAAGGCACTATGAAGGTTTTGAAACCATTCTGTTAACTCCGTGTTAGCACAGATGGCTATCTGGCCTTTTTTCTTCCCTCTTGTAATAAAGCATTGATTAATGTGAAGATACAATTTAGTATGCTTATTCTACTCTTTGCTTAGAGATGGGAGACACTTTTTTTTTTTTTTTTTTTTTTGGTGGTACACGGGCCTCTCACTGTTGTGGCCTCTCCCATTGCGGAGCACAGGCTCCGGATGCACAGGCTTAGTGGCCACGGCTCACGGGCCCAGCTGCTCCGCAGCATGTGGGATCTTCCCAGGCCGGGGCACGAACCCGTGTCCCCTGCATTGGCAGGCGGACTCTCAACCACTGTGCCATCAGGGAAGCCCGAGACACTTTTGATTGTTCATGCTATTCTAATACGTACATGAAAGAATAGCAACTTTGTAGTTATTTCCTAATTTAAGAAGCACTTGTAGATTTTTACTGTTGGTATTTCAGGCCCCTATTGGGTTTTCTAAAACTTAAGCTGGAGCAAACAAATTGCTTGGTTAATCACAAGAGGTAGTAAATGTAAATCCCTGGACCTAGCCACAGATGACCTCATTCTCTTCTCACCTGTACTGTGAAAACATAGGGCAGGTGATTTACATAAAGGATACTTTTTTGTCATAATCCTTTTCAATTACAGTATTAATAAGAGTTCATTTTCTTTCACTTCTCGATCTGGCATATTTAGCCTGTTTTTTCCTTTAATTAGTGGTAAAATATACGTAACATAAAATTCATCATTTTAAACATTTTTAAGGGTACAGGTTTTATGGCATTAAGTACATCCAGGTTGTTGTGCAATCACCACCACCATTCATCTCTAGGAATTTTTCATCTTCCCCATTTAACACTAACTCCCCATTTCCCTTTCCCTGTAATCCCTGGCAACCAGCATTCTACTCTATGAATTTGACTGTTCTAAATACTTAACTTATATAAGTGGAATCATAGAGTATTTGTCCTTTTGTAACACCATAATGTCTTCAAGGTTCATCCATGTTGTATTGTAGAATGTGTCAGAATTTTCTTCCTTTCTAAGGCTGAATAATATTTTATTACTTAGATATATATATAGAGAGAAAGATCTGTGTCTCTCTCTATATATACACATACATATCTATAGCATCTGTTTTTTTAAAAAAGGGAGAAAGTTGTATTAAAGGTTTTGATATACACTGACTTCTAAGTATAAAGAATATTAAACTTTTATTACCATTTAACTCTTGGACTCTAAAACTGTTTCCTTAAGCAGCAAGTTATCCTGATGGAACTATTCAAGTAAGCAATGGTAGCCTTGCCTTTTACCCAGCACAGACGAATGTATTTCCCAGACCCTCTCAACCATTTGTCAATAGCCGGGGATCTGTTAGAGGATGTACTCGTGGTGGGAGATTACTAACCAATTCGTATCGGTCCCCTGGTGGTTATAAAGGTATGCTCTGAATAAAATTTGTATGTTTACTTGACTCAAACTGTTTTTACTTTACCTTGTTCCTTTATGTGGTTTCCATTTATAATGTAGTAGAGAATTCCCTATTCCTGCAAAATATGGTATTTCTAATATGTCTGTTGTCTATAACAGAGGAACTCTTTGAATGAAAAACAGATCGATCCTGTGACTTACTGAAGTGAAAGGTTGAGCATTTTGGTTTTTTTCCAGGGATGAATTTTGGTTTTCATATCTGAATAATTTCTTTCTTCTGTTAATTGACTTGGCTGGCTCAAAACATGTCATATTTAAGACAGTGCCCATTTCCTAGTTATCAGAGTATACCACAGATGAAAACTTTGAGACAATAATAGTGATACGCTTTTAAGTTAGATATGGTTCCAAGTATTGTAGTCACTGCTGGTATTAGCAGAAGTACTCTAGACCAAGGCCTTAACCACCATCCTTTCCCAACCCCACCTGCATCCCAGCAATAGTAAATTTCTACAGTTGGCTTGTTTGAAGTCTGTGATATTTTTATAAATGTGTGTTTTATTGTGGAAACAGTATTATGGAGTTTGCATAAAGAAGGCATAAATCTAATGATGGCTTTATAGTATCAGTTTAACTTTCCAAGTGATATAGAACAGACTATTTAAGAGTTTAGTGTAATTTTGCCCATAATTTTATGTAAGTTGTTTATTTATTAGGTTTTGATACCTATAGAGGACCTCCTTCAATTTCCAATGGAAATTATAGCCAGCTACAGTTCCAAGCTAGAGAGTATCCTGGAACACCTTATTCCCAAAGGGTAAGAATAATTGTTATAACTGAACAATAGTACAATTGATGTGAAGCTGGTGACTAAACTATAGCAGAGTCGTAATTTGTTTTGTAAAGACACTCTTGTAACTATGGAGAGTGGATCTGGAAGCTTTTCTAATAACCCAAGTAGGGTACATGAGAACTGCCTGTTACATGGAACTTAGGAGGTCTTAAGGACTTTATTAAGTTTGCATTAACTCATTTACTCCACCATCCTATAAGAGAAACTGGAGTTCAGAAACAAGTAACTTATCTAAGGTCACTCAGCAAGTAAATGATAGAACTAAGATTAGATGCAAGTTTCTCAACTCCAGAGCCCATGGTCTTTACTATATTGCCTTCAGTTTAACTTTTTTAGATATCAAGTATAGGAAAGTCCTGTTTTGTAAGTTTGATTTTTTTGGTTTATTCTTGATTGACTAGTTCAGCAGATTGTCTTTACTATATATGATAAAAGACTGATAGGAGGATGGTAGACATTCCACTTGAACAGCCCTTGGGAACTCCCTGTCATTGGTCATATATGGATATGAATTTATACTACATTAGCATTTTCAGTTTTGAAGTTTTACAAGCCTTTACAAGCCACATACAAGTATGTATGTGGTATTTTACTGAGCTCTGTTGTTAATATACAAAGGAGCTTACGGTTACGTGAGGTAAGATAGATGTCTATACAGAGGCAGTATTGAAGAACACTTGGAGAACACACCAGGTCACCTGAATGACTTGGGTTTGACCCCTGATCTCACCAGTTACCTCTTTGTGTGACCTTGGGCCTGTTATGTAAACTTTCTGAGCTTTAGTTCCTTATCTGCTAGGTGAAGACTCATCTGTTTGAGTTACTTACCTTACTCTGGAGTGTTGAGGATTACTCTGTGAGGGATTCTGAGGATTAAATGAAGTCATATACATAAGTGCTTTGCATATATCAAGGATGCAAATATTAACTGTTATTACTTGATTGTCACGTACTGTGTGTGCAGGGAAAACTTTGATTAATGCGGTCTTTCAGTAATGGAGCTGTCTGTTCTTAATACCAGTATTCTAGTATTTTTGTGTGCTGCTTTAAATTTCCTCCTGAGGAAACATAAGATATCAATGACAGTAGTGCTGTTGGGAAGAGGGTTAGGACTTTGGGGTAGGAAAATTAATTATTATTTTTACTGTATACATTCTTGTCCTGTTTAAATTTTTTATTACATGTATTGATATTAATCTGATTGCACCATTAATTATTCTTTTCATGACTTGCATGGGGGCTGACTTTCACCATACTTGGGAGTCAGTTTGAAATGTTGCCTCTTGAACATTTTTTCTTAAAGATTCCAGGCAATAATATGTTCATACGTTAAATTCTTATCAATTTCCCTGTCAAAACAAAACCAAACCCTAACCTAGTTGGTAATTGTCTTCACACTTTGGTTTATAAATAGAGCAAGACTGAAATTGTCTGTATTTTTGCTTTATCATCTCCTTTTATATTGAGATGAGGCACAGAGGACCAGGACATATTTCTGAATTTCCCTCATTACCTAGCATTGTGTCTTTTACGTAGTGTTCTCTAAATGCTTTCTTGTTTTTGCAAGTATTAACATATCTAATTTGTCAGGTTAATTAACAGATGAAGCAAATATTTCTACTGTGACTCTTACTTTATTTGTTTTTCTTGGTGTCATCTGAGCCCTTTTGGTTGCTGGAGAAGGCTAGACCAAGGGCTAGGAGGACTTAGTCTTACAAATTTATCTGCCAATAATAACTAATTACTGTTTTGCATTTTTGGTGCTAAGGTAAATATTATGTGTTCATTTTAGGATAATTTCCAGCAGTGTTACAAGCGAGGAGGAACATCTGGTGGTCCTCGGGCAAATTCGAGAGGTAAGGATAATTAATTGAGGAGTTTATTTACCCAAAACATACCTCTGGATCTTTCTTCATCCTTTTTCAAGTTCTCCCCAAAGTATATTAGCATTTATCTTTTGAGGTTTTCAGTTTGCTTAAATGTTGTACTGAAGATCTGAGGGAGATATTAGACTACTAGAAAGGCTGTGGAAATCATTTGTCAATTTACATGTGTATGTGTTTTAAATTTGCTTGACACCATAATTTAACCTTAGATACATATTCACTATGCTGACTTGATATAGTTTCAGGTGATATATCAGGATGGTGGTTTTGGAATAATGGGCACTTCTAGATACTCTGGTGCCCCTTAGTACATTGATAGATAGGAATAAACAACAGTTAAGACACAATGACTTGAACAAAAGCAGGATACTTTTAATACTTCTTAAAATGTGAAGGTACTATTAAAAGGTTCAGTGTAACTGAGAAGATCAAGAATTACTGAAGATTAACTGTCACAAGAAAAGAGAAGCTTTTCCTTTTAAGAAAGTAGCCACTATTCACATTATCTTTGCCTTCTATCTGAGCAGTGTTCTTGTACAATACTGAAAACATTAAAATTTTATGATACCACATGAACTTAGAAATAAAGAATAAGCATTTATTATGGGGCTTAGTACCATAACAAGATATGTTTGAATGTCTAGTAGGATAGTAGTTCCAGAAGTTGCTACTTTTATGTAATCTCAGTTTTCTTGAGTCCTTCTCCATTAGATACTTAGATTTATCACTGAGGAATTAAGAACTCAGAATTATGGGAGAAAGGTAAAGAATTAAAGAGTGTTCACACCTGAGTTTTCGACTCTGCTTACCATAACTACTGTTAAGTTATCCAACCTTTGGGGGCCTCATTTTTTTAATATTAAAAAAAAAAATGAGGCTACTGGACAAAATCATCCAGGTCCTTTCTGGCTTTAGAATAGTAGTAGAAAAGCCTATTGTCAGAGAAATCTAGAAGAGTATACTGTAGCTATACTTTATTGCTTTTTTAAAAAAATTTACTATAAAATGTATTTTTATCTGTATTTCAGTAGCCGACTAATGTTAAATATTGTGTTCAAAGCTAACTGCTTCATTATGAGAAACTCACTGTTGCTAATAAAACAGCAGGGTGGAGTGATTCTTCTCAGGTGAGCAGCCCAGAAAGAGACAACGAAACCTTTAACAGTGGTGACTCTGGACAAGGAGACTCCCGTAGCATGACCCCTGTGGATGTGCCAGTGACAAACCCAGCAGCCACCATACTGCCAGTACACGTGTATCCCCTGCCTCAGCAGATGCGAGTTGCCTTCTCAGCAGCCAGAACCTCCAATCTTGCCCCTGGAACTTTAGACCAACCTATTGTGTTTGATCTTCTTCTGAACAACTTGGGAGAAACTTTTGATCTTCAGCTTGGTAGATTTAATTGCCCAGTGAATGGCACTTATGTTTTCATTTTTCACATGCTAAAGCTGGCAGTGAATGTGCCGCTGTATGTCAACCTCATGAAGAATGAAGAGGTTTTGGTATCTGCCTATGCCAATGATGGTGCTCCAGACCATGAAACTGCTAGCAATCATGCAATTCTTCAGCTGTTCCAGGGAGACCAGATATGGTTACGTTTGCACAGAGGAGCAATTTATGGAAGTAGTTGGAAATATTCTACGTTTTCAGGCTATCTTCTTTACCAGGATTGAAAGTCAGTACAGAATTGACAATAAAAGGATATGGTGTTCTGATTAGTGGGAATAAAGGAAAAGTAGTCCTTGCCCTTCTGACAGATTGGTTTAGGAAAATGTTTTCATTCCTAGAGGAAGGAGGAGGTCCTTACTTTTTTGTTTTCCTCCCCATGGTGAAAAATTTCAAGCTGAATGACAATTAGCACTAATCTGGCACTTTATAAATTGTGATGTAGCCTCGCTAGTCAAGCTGTGAATGTATATTGTTTGCACTTAATCCTTAACTGTATTAACGTTCAGCTTACTAAACTAACTGCCTCAAGTTCAGGCAAGTTATAATGCCTTGTTGTGCCTCAATAAAAGAGTTACATGCACCTTCAGTGTTCTTACTTGATTAAACATTTAGTTAAGAAGTAAAATGTTTAATTTTTAATGTTCACACTGGTAACTCTTGAATGGGAATCTATTCATGGGTTCATACTATTATTTTAAAATAAGCCTTTTATATATAACAGCTCCTTTTACAGTTACTTTTCTCTGTTATTATACATATCATTCATCAAAAGATTTCATCTGTTTTCCACTGGCCAAATCACATATTCTCCTTGAAGCTGTTTTGCAGTAGGGTGATTTATCCTTTAGCTATCTTCAAGTACCTACTATATGAATAATAATACAAGATACAGTACGCAATACATGGGTAATACTACTGGTCCGCCATCAGTAAGGCTTATGCTTTCTAGTGGATTCTTAATTTGAGTAGGTAAAATATTTAGTCATCAAAAAGCATAGGTCTGTGGTTGGGCAATGCTGTATTTGAGTGCTGATTTTGCCACTTAGTAACTGATCTTGGGCAAGTTATTATACCTCAAAGATATTTTTAAAGACCATTTCCCGAAATGCAAAATGGGCATGATAGATCAGCCTCAGGGTAGTTGTGAAGTTCAACTAAGAATTTATCTAAAAGACTTTACACAGGGCTTCCCTGGTGGTGCAGTGGTTGGGAGTCCGTCTGCCGATGCAGGGGACACGGGTTCGTACCCCGGTCCGGGAAGATCCCGCATGCCGCGGAGCGGCTGGGCCCGTGAGCCATGGCCGCTGAGCCTGCGCGTCCGGAGCCTGTGCTCCGCAACGGGAGAGGCCACAACAGTGAGAGGCCCGCATACCGCAAAAAAAAAAAACAAACAAAAAAAACTTTACACAGTGCCTGGCACATAAGCATTTAATAAATGTTAGATGCTGTAATTGTGTTTTTCTCATTCGGAAAACTTTAGGGTGCTGTGTGTATATACTGTCTTGTATGCAGTGTAGCAGGCAATGCCAGAGTTTAGTATCCATTCTAGACATACATCCTCACGTCTCAATTTAAGTTTGTATATGATTCTTACTACTAAGAACTTAATAATATGTTTCTCAATTACTTTAAAGAATAGTTATTCAAAATAAACATTTTGATTGAATATTCCAGAGTTTATTAAGGGTTGGAGAAAGGGCATTCTTAGCCTGCAACCAAGCAAGTCAGTTGCTGAGGCAGAAAGTTCTTGTTTTGATCCTCCACTCACTCTGTGTTGTTAAATAATCTCAGGAAGATATAAGAGCATTAAATTATTATGGTTAATATTTTTGAGCTAGGTGTGGGTTCAGCAATTAAATCCTTAAGCCATGTTTAATTCTGTGGTGTTAAGTGTTAGTACAGTGCTCTCAAGATAGAGGATGTAATGTGATTCACTGTTTAATAGAACTTTTTCAATTTATGGTAAGTACTTTGTGAGTTAGGGATATTAGTATTCCAGTTAAATAAATTAGTTCATGGCTTTTATGTCCAGAACACAAAATGAAAAGTATGCAGGAAAGCAGAAATATGATTAAATGCTTGAGGGGAAAACTTGATGTTTAAGAACAGTTGTTGATCAAGTTCAATGAGGCCTTTCTCAGTCTTTTTTAGCCACTGTTTTCTGCTGCATTAGGGTCTTCAGCTTAGTCTTTTGTCCTGCACATGATCGACATTTATTGAAAAAATATTGTGAATGACTCTTTATATTTTTTAAGGTAAGTGTCCAACAAGAAGAGATTCATTAATTCATTAAGCATATGTAAACTAGGGTATTCCTTCATGATAATACTCATGTTTTAGGAGAGTATTTTAAATGAAATACTATTTCTCTAAGTGTAAAAACAATAAACTAGAAAATTAGACTTAAGGAATGAATGGACAAGATCTTTCATTCTGAAGCAGTGTAACTTTTGAAGACACAGTTCTTCTGGAAGCTTTTAGTAAAAGTCCAGATGTCTTTACAGGAAGATGTACACATGCAGATTTTAGATACCTTTGCAAGAGATGTAATGGGGATCCATAGATAAGTAAAGCACATTTAGGGACCTTGTATAAGGAACTTATATTTTACTGAGAGGATCTTGTAGGTATGACTGAAGTGGAAAGGCATTCCATAAAATTACTATGTATCTCTGAATATATAGATTCTTAGTTGTCTTACTGGAGGTGGAGATAAAGTAAGTTTTTCTATTTTCTATAGATAGATTTTCTATAAATTCACATCTGAGTTTCCTTTCACTGACTCTTACCTCCTCCAAAGTTATTTAGTGAGTAAATGCAGGTATTTAAAGCAGGAAATATTTTTGAGAGGTTTGCTCACTTGCCTCCCATACCAAGTATCTTGTCAACCATTCCATTTTTAAATTGAAACTTTCTAAACTCCATAATAGCTACAATTTTACAGTGCTTTGACATCACATACTGTGTTTTTATACTTCAATCTTCCCTGTTTGCAAAGTTTTATTCCTTTATTGACTGATGTTCTGTTGTGATCCTTGTGATAACTAGGATGATATTTTATGTATTTTACAAGGCATATAAAGTATTTTATATGCCAGATAATTTTTGGCATATAGACGTTAAAGTTTTTCCATATGAATTCCACTCTGCTCCCACGCCAAACACTTTATTTTGATGAAAAAATTTTGAGTTGTCTCTCCAGGTCCTCCACTTGCTAATGTTATCTCAGGGGTATTCTTAATTGCCACTTTAATGATTAGGCTGATATCTTTGTCCTCATTTTTCAGCTTTTGGGCAAGTTGTTGACAAACTGATAGGTACAGCTCACTTGCTACCAGTGCAAGACTCTGAATGCCAGATGATAAAATATTGTTACCCATTATCAATATCAAGAGACCTTAGGCTCACTAATTGTAAGTTTCTTAAGCATTATTCTTTTATTCATTTTATTTCAAGGACCTTATATGTTGAAATAAATTATTAATTTAGGTGGGTTTTAATTTACCATAAAACCCAAATAGGTGGGTTATCTGACTTGTACCTGGCTCAGGGGCTACAAAGATCAATGTTCAGACACATCAAGTATATCCATTTTCTCCATTTTCTCCATTTCATCTGCTGAGAGCAAATCTCTTGAGTTATTTCTCTGATTTCTATCACACTTCTGTTTTTTTCTGTTCTGTATCTGGAAATCTTACTATTCAGAAGCTAAACCTCCTTGGACAAGTTATTTAATCTCATCTTTTCTCTTGTTTCAGAGTTTCACTTTCTGGAAGATTTCCTTGATTTTGTCTTCTGACCTTTTTACAGAGTTTTAAATTTCTGCTGCGTTTAAAATTTATAAGTACACATCTGTTATCTTGAATGTTCCTTACATGTGTATTCCATTCTTGTGATTGCACTATTGTCTAATTCTAAGGATAGTTGGTTTTCTTAAAGTTTTCTTCCCTCTGTAGTCTATTTCTGCACTTCGTTTCTCCTAGTCTCATATCTGTATTGTTACATTTGCCGAGAATCTTGTGATTATTTGTTGACTGTTGATATTTAAGAATGTGGCACCTAAATATGATTGGAAGCTTTGAATGCAGAGGTGGGGCTTGTTGATTTTGGGGTTTGTAGTAGCATGATTTTTGTGGGGAGAACACCAATGTGGAAGTAGGGAGGAGCTTTCTAAGTGGGGCACAAAACCCAGAAGCTGTAAAAGATGGATAAATTTGACACATAGAATTGATTCCCGTAAAACTTGTTAGGGGAAATAATGTCAAAAGACAAATGACTGCCTGCAGTGGGAGAAAATCAAGAAAAAGATGGCCCAAAAAAGGAGCCACAGAAGTGAAGAGACAGTTCATATGCGCTTACGCTTAAAAAAAAAAAAAAAAAAAAAAAGATCAGTAAGCATATGTAAAGTGCGTATTTTGGCAAGCATGTGGGAAAAGGGGCACTCATAGTGTAGATGGTAATAAAGTTGGTACTTTTTGGAGAGAGAAAGTATATGCTTTCTAACCCAGAAATTCCACTGCTAGGAATTTACAAGTAGTTTTGGAATTATGCCTAGGTACATGCATAGAGATATTGTGTATAGCATTAATTATAACAGCAAGAACTGGAGAAACAACCTAGATGCCCATCAGTAGGAAATTGGTTAAGTCAGAAGAGAAGAATATAGATCAGTGTGTGCAAAATGTCATTTGTGTAAAAATTCCTAAAAGCACATATATGTGATTACTTGAATTATTTTTTTTTCCTGGTAGTATGTACAAAACTTGATACTGTTGGCTTTAAGGAAAAGGGGTTGTAGTAGGTATTTTTCATTCTGCATATTACTATAGAACTTTAAATGTACATATCGCTTTTTGTTAAAAATTTTAAAGATAAAATGGTAGATTGCTATGGTACTTACCCTGCTTTGTCTTTCCTTGGCTAGAGCTTGAGGGTCTGGTCTGCTTTAATTATCATTAAGCCCGGGATAACACATGGAAGAGTTACCGTAAAAACCTTTCACCTTTCACTAATATTTGCATTTCACTTCATAATTTACAGAGTACTCTCATTTGTGTAATCTTATTTGATTTTCACAATGGTCCTGGTGAGGTAGATGCTTTTCTAGGGGATAAGAAAATTGGGACTCTTGGAGATTGACTTTCTAAGACCACTAGCAGTAGTGCCTGAGCCAGGCTTTAAGTCCAGATACAAGCCTTTGTTATCGTACTTGTTGCTCTTCTTTAGTTCTCAGGTGTGGTTGCCTTTACTGTATTTTCTATTGCTCTTTTGCACACTGATGTTTTAGATGTACTACTCAGCTTCACTAGAGCAGGATAAACACTGTAAACTGGATAAACTGGACCCAGTTAAGGTTGTCATAGGTTATCATTTCTTGTATGTCCTGAATTTGAACAGGATGACTCCCTTTTCCAATGTGAAATGTGGGAAGCCTGAGGAAATGAAGGAGCAGAACATTTTGAGGAAAAAACTGATTTGAAGTATATATTTCATTTTCAGTCTTAGTTAATACCACTCTCTTTAGCTTCTATGCCTCCCGCCCACTACTACCATTTTAGTTTCTTGGAGATGGAAGTTTCTG